GGTGGTGGAGCTGAAGGAGACGATGGTCCCCGACTACAGGAACACGATCGGGCAGGGGGCCTAGGGCCACTCCTCCAGTGTGAGCATCCCGGGCTGGTCCAGACCCCAGACAGGATCTGGGTCCTTCGGTTCATTACGCTCAGCCTGCCGCCCAGACCTGCTCTGCTGCCTCCCGACCTCGCCACACGCTGACCTCACTGCCCCATTCGGCCCGCAGCGTGCCTTCTGGCTTCATGGTCACTGCACTCTGCCTCCTGCCCCCGACTCCTGTTTGGAGAACCAAGTGGACGGCAGCTATAAGCCTGAGTTGAGCTGATGGACGCCAATTGGCCCCTCCCCAGCAGCCACCAAGAAACACTTGGGCCTGAGGAATCAGGGCCGAACATCGCTCACCAGCACCTCCCTGGGGTCCGCGTATGTGGTCCCCCTGGAGGAAGTGGAGCACCGATGTGCCACGTCCGTCTGGACAGGGACGAGTCTTCACACAAACTGCATCCATGCCAGGGTCAAGGACGCAGGCTTCCAGGAAGGAGACACGTGGTTTCAGATCCTTGAGTGGGAACATCTGCTGCCAAGGCCAGGAGGACACGAGGCCATTGTATACCAACAGGGAAGCGTCTGGACATGCCCCTAACCGTCACTCGGGTTGTCTCCACCCAGGGAGACCACTCAGAGGAGGGCCTGGGCTGTGGCCACTGTGGGATCCCCGGTGGATATGGGCGGCACCACCTGGGAGGGGTGGACATCCGGCCAGGCGGGCCTCCTGGAGAGGGGCCTGCTGACCAGGTCCCCAAGTGGATGGGATGTGGCCTTGGTGGACAGAGGTGGAGGGGCGGCAAGAGATCAGGGCAGCAGGCACAGCCACCCAATCCTGCAGCCGGCGGGGCCTGAGTCACGGTCCACAGGAAGTACAGCTGCTCCATGGGGCAGAGGTGAGAGAAGAGACCTCCGAGGAGAGAGCCCATGGCCTTGGGGAGCCGACCAAGTGGACCAATTTCAGACCCCTGGCCTCACAACCCCTGGACCAAATCACCCCTCAGGTACTGAAGGAACCCCTAGTCGCCCTCTCTAGATGCGAAGGACAGGGATGCGCACGGGAAGGAGAGGCGGACCCCTGTCCCAACTACTGGGGGAAAAATCGCAGAAAGGTTGCTCAAAGAAAAGGCCATAGTTGTAGCTTGCGTAGCTTTCTTCCTTCTTTTTAACTTTCTGGAGCCCACTGATTTTCTTTACCATTTCTTTTCTTAAAACAACAATAAAACACCCTTAAAAATTCCACAGCTCACTATGTTGACATGCCTTGTGAAATCCGGAGCCTGTCTGAATCGACCACCAGGGGCTCCCTCCACACCCTCCCAGCTGCAGAACCTTCCAGCCCTTCCTCTCCTCCCGCCCTCAGCTCTCCTCCAGCACCTGGAGCTGCGTGGGGGAGGAAGACGGCCCAGAAATGGGGCTATGAGGAGGGGCGAGGGGGCTGACGGGGCCTGGTGGGGAGCAGGGCCAGCCTGGGGACTGGGGAAAGGAGGAGCTTCCAGCACTGGTCATGGCCAGAAGCAAGACCCCCGTGCTGGGTGTGTATGAGTCAGCATGGCTGCTGCAATGACCAGCCTGGGCGGCCTGAACAACAGACATTTGTTCTCTCACACATCTGGAGGCTGCATGTCCCAGAGAAAGTGTCAGCAGAGTGGGGTTCTGCTGAGACCTCTCTCCTGGCTATGTAGACGGCCTCTTCTCCCCGTGTCCTCGCCCCAGCCTCCCTCTGCGAGTGTCTGTGCCCTGACCCCTCTTCCTATAGGACACCAGTCACACTGGATTAGGGCCCAGCCTACTGACTCCATTTTAACTTATTACCTGAAAGATCCCTTCTCCAGAGACAGCCACATTCTGAAGTCCTGGGGGTGATGGGTTCAAGATATGAATTTCGGGAACACAATTCACCCAGAAAAGGGGGAGTTAGGTCTAGGAACACATACACACAGTGCTCTGTCCCCGTGTACTCAGATATCTATTACCTTGGTCCCTCACGTTCCTCCTGCCCCAAGTTTTTGTCTTTGCTGTTCCCTTCTCCTAGTGTCCCTTGCCTCTACACACCTCGCAAATCCTACACAGCCTTCTCTTAGCTCTGAACTCCACGCCTCCTCCTCTGTCAGTCTTCCCTAATGCACTCAGCAGAAGGCACCCACCCTCCCCCAGCCTGGGTCTGTGCGGGCCCCTCCCGCTCAGTAGCCACCTGCATCCGTCTCCCCAGAAGTGAAGTACATGATCCCGCAAACAGTGATGTAAGGAAGCTGTGATAAGTGCTGTGAGGGGAAACTGTGGGGCTGTGAGGCCACACAACAGAAGAGGCTAAGGGAAGCTATCCGGGGGAGCACCCAGACCCAGAGCCCTGGAGAAACAGGGTGGCCGGCCTCCCTTGGGTCTGCTCCTCAACATCTGGTCTCGGGCACCCCCTGCCCTGGTCACAGAACTTCCTCAACCCAGGATAATTGGAGCCATGGGGAGAAGACATTTGCAACATGTTAGAGGACAGGTTTTAACATGGTGATCACGACTCTCATATAGACAGATAATGAACAGATTTCAAAGACTATTTAACTCATTAATTAAGGGGTTACAAGTAGTTTAAAGTAGAGTTCAAAGTCCCTCACTGATATAGTGGAATCAAGAATGCTAAAAAGAGTTTATCAGCAGATGCATTTTAGAATGCACCTGGCTTTCTCCACGGGAGGCAGGGAAGAATCAACCATCCTTCCGGAGAAGAGAATTCCCATCGCCTTTGATTCTCTACAACTTACTGAGCTGTGAAAGAGCTCAAAGACAATGGAGAGTGTGGAGCCCCCTCTGAGTCGTTTAACCTGGAGGGGGGTGCTAGACAGTGCCGTGCTTCCCACTGCAGACAGAAGTCATCTTTGGTGCATTTAGAGTCTTTCACAATATTTCCTACAAACAGACAACTGACAACAAGTCCAGAATATACAGAGAACTCCTGCAAGTCAATTAGAAACATCACATAATTCAGTAGTGAAATAGGCCACAGAATTAACAGACGCCTCACAAGAGATATCCAAAGAGCCATTAAACGTAAGGAAAACCACACTAGTTACATGGAAATGAAAATGAAAACCACGTGAGGGAATGTGAAACCGAGGACAAAGGAGTTCAAGTTTCTCTGGATGAGGATGAACCTGGGCCTGTACCCACAAGGTTAACATGGGAAACAAAGTAACCAAAGTTTCTGAGCTTGCCTTGCAGAACAGCAGGAGGATGGCTGATAAGGGAGGAACTTGCCAACGGCCCTCCACCTAACTAAGCATCTTGCAGGTAATTGAGAAGCTAAAATGACAGAATCTAAGCTTCACACATCATAAGAAATATGAAAGACAGTCGCCCCTGCGCAAAGGACTCTTTGAACTTCACCCCGAAGGCCACATGCTCCCCTCCCAGTCTTATTCTCACAAAGTGCTTTAGAAAAACGCTTAGAACTGCATGTAGGCGGACTGATCTGTAACCAGGAGAAAGACTAACTTGTTAGCAGAAAATTTGTGTCCTCTACCCAAACCATTCCTTCTGTCCCAGATGAAGAAGTACCTGAGGTTTTCTCAGAGTCCCCAGGAGCGTGGCATGCAGCAGGTCCACTGTGGAGAGGCATCAACTTCCTCGGTCACCAACTACCTAACATTTCTGACCCTGCCCCAGCCCCATTTGCCTTATATGAGTGATTTCCAAATCAGTTCCCTTTAAGATAGGTTTTCTCAGGACAGTAGTCCACCATCCTCCCATGTGCCAGCTATCACTTATCAAAGCCCTTTCTCTACCACCACCTGCATGGCCATTTATCTTATGGCGAGCAGATCGAACCCTTGCTCCATATCAAAGGTAGTTCTGATTCCCATCGTGGGCGAGCAGCTTGTATCAGACGAACCCTTGAGACAGCATCATAAACCCTGGAAAAACTGTTCAAAACAACAATGCTTTGAAGGCACTGGAGAATGGCCAAAGCAAGCAGACACTGGAGAAGATCAGCCCTCGAAATGTCCGTCTGCAGGTGCCCCCCAGGCCACACCGCAGGTGCAAGGGGAACACAGCAGACACGCCACCATCCCGGCAAGAGGGCTCAAGTCATGGGATTCAGGGCTGCATTTCAAGAGCAGCTGGAAATGAAGGGGAGATGTCCAGAAGAGGAGGGACACCAGAGAGGAACCCCAAAATCAGCATGGAATTTCTGCTCAGTCCTGGGCTGATCCTTCAACTGTGGGGTGGGGGGGGCTCCAAAGGGCCCAGCGAGAAACATCGGCTGGGAGGCTGAAAGACCTGTGGAGATTTCAGCTCAGGCCAACCACACGGCAGATGGATGTGGAGTCTGAGTCCAGTCAAGCTAACTGCCTCTGACGTGAAAACCAATACTTTTCTAGGAAGAGTGCCTAACATGGGAGCAGGGAAACGTCCTCCCCCCGACCAGAGCAAGCCCTGCCCCGACCGAGAAAGAGGAGAGGAGGAATAGGCTGAGACCTGCGAGGGGAGGCCTGGTTCAGGCCCCTTGAGAGGAGCGGGCCGTCTGCTGGGAGGGGCAGCAAGCCCCGGGTGGCCCCGGCCCTGAACGGAGACATCCAGGTGATGTCCCTCTCTCGTCTGTCCCTCCCTCTGGTCTCCTACAGCCTGGCCAGTCCTCTTGACAAGCAGACCACCTGCAGCCAGGAAGCCGGGAGGCCAGAGTCTGCCCGACGGTGGGGTGGTGGAGAAGGTGCAGGACGTCAGCACAGCCAGGGGGCCCGGGGCACCCACAGCCTGAGAGACGAGTCCCAAGGACGCACCTGGACAGAGGCTGAGGGCCAGGTCTGTCGGAGCCGATCCCAGAGCAATGCTCTGAGCAGACCACACAGGGACTCCCGTTCTGGAAGACAACCCACTCCAGCTATCGGGGGTGGACACCAGGGACAGGTCACCCTTTCCCTAGGCTCCTTCAGTGAATCCCCAATATTGTCTCACTGTGGGCACAGTGGAGTCAGATGGAGACGATTCCTGTGTTGCTTCCAGGTGGACTTGCGGGTGAAGTGTGATGGACCC